CTCCTTTCTCTACAAACTATCTTTTCGTATAGGAAATAAGGTTGTAGAAACTGCAAATTATTGCTTTGTATAGTAAATAGGGTTATATAAAATTGAAACTAGTGCATAATGTCTTTGTAAGTGTGTAAGTTATGTCTTTCATATATTATATGTATGATAAATCTCGAGTAAAGTTTTAAAATTTTGTATCAGTTTACGTTTTAGTTCCAAATTAATCTTTTTTTTTCATAAAAAAAGTCATAAAAATCGGTAAAAGATGGCATTCTAACTATTTCCTCCCCATTAGAACCGATAATAAATTAATTTGGGACTATTCATAAATTGGCCCAAAATATTGAAACTTTTTTGAAAAAAAATCTTATTATTATTATTATTATTATTATTATATTAAAAAGGTAAATAAATATATTATTTTTAAATTCGTTATTGTTATTAAATAAATACATATATAAATGCATTGTAAACACATATTTATACATATAAAAGGTATTTATATATTTTTTTAACTTAAAAAATATTTATTATATTTATATGTAAATTTTATGTATAAACACACATATATATATATATATATATATATATATATATATATATACAGAGAGAGAGAGAGAGAGCTATGTTCAAATGTGGATTGACATCTATTGTGTGGACAGTGTTATTCTGTGAGAATGATAAAGAAAATATGTTGTTTGATAATATGAATACGTTCAATCTTATATTACTATAGTCATTATCACACATATTCACTAATTAAATCGTCTATAAGGTTATTATAGACATTTTTTTAATTATTCTCATTCTATCAGAATGTTGTCAGAATGTTTATTGAGTCGTATTCTGTAAGAATTAAATCACTATCTTTTTTCTCTATCCAAACACCCTTTTACTATATAAAAATTTAATTTTATTATAAGCTATTGTAACGTCACTAAATATATTTTTTGGATCGGTTATTACATATCCGAATTTATTTTCCTAGATCTACCACTCTTGTACTTTGGGGTCGGTTGATATGCCTTCTAACTGAGTTCGAAGCTAGGACCCTGTCCACAGTCTCGAGTCAACATGTTTGTTTCCTTTCCGACCATTGTTTTCCCTCCTAACCCTGTTTTTGCTGATTTGGACTTGGTCCCCGATTTTTTTGATGATTTGGTCCCCATTGTTTTCCCTCCTGGGCCAGGGCGGACGCAGGCTTTCACAGTAGGGGTTGCACGAAAATAGAAAAAATAAAATTTTAAAAAAATTTCGAAAAATTTTCCACTGCGGACGGAGAAGTCAGGTGTTGCCGGTGCCACCGGTGAATAAACTATGTATTAAACAAGCATAAATAAAAAAATTTAAAATGGTCGTAAAAAAATCGGGGATGTTACAATCTCTCTCATCTCACTAGCTTTGTTAGATCTTGATAAACAATAATACTAAAAAAAATGTTTATAAAGTAAAAATTATTGTCTCCTTTCTCTACAAACTATCTTTTCGTATAGGAAATAAGGTTATAGGAACTGCAAATTATTGTTTTGTATAGTAAATAGGGTTATATAAAATTGAAACTGGTGCATAATGTCTTTGTAACTGTGTAAGTTATGTCTTTCATATATTATATGTATGATAAATCTCGAGTAAAGTTTTAAAATTTTGGATCAGTTTACGTTTTAGTTCCAAATTAATCTTTTTTCATAAAAAAAGTCATAAAAATCGGTAAAAGATGGCATTCTAACCATTTCCTCCCGGTTATAACCGATAATAAATTAATTTGGGACTATTCATAAACTAGCCTAAAATATTGAAACTCTTTTGAAAAAAAATCTTATTATTATTATTATTATTATATTAAAAAGGTAAATAAATATATTATTTTTAAATTCGTTATTATTAATGTTATTAAATAAATACATATATAAATGCATTGTAAACACATATTTATACATATAAAAGGTATTTATATATTTTTTTAACTTAAAAAATATTTATTATATTTATATGTAATTTGTATGTATAAACACACACACACACATATATATATATATATATATATATATATATATAGAGAGAGAGAGAGAGAGAGAGGTAGGTTCAAATGTGGATTGACATCTATTGTGTGGACAGTGTTATTCTGTAAGAATGAGAAAGAAAATATGTTGTTTGATAATATGAATACGTTTAATCTTATATAACTATTGTCATTATCACACATATTCACTAATTAAATCGTCTATAAGGTTATTATAGACATTTTTTTAATTATTCTCATTCTGTCAGAATGTTTATTGAGTCGTATTCTGTAAGATTGAAAATAAATGAAAAACGATGCGTGAGAATTAAAATGAATAAAAATAAGTGAGAATACATTAAAATAACAATAGTTGTGTGAGGTTGAATGTATTCACATTGCTAAACAATATATTCTCTTAGTAATTCTCATAGAATAATACTGTCCACACGTCCGCACAATAGTTGTCCATCCACATTATAACCTAGCGCTATATATATATATATATATATATATATATATATATATATATATATATATATATATATATATGGAAAAGTGAATATACATTACAGCCCGACCTAAGCTTAGGTACTAAACCTCATGAAAATACATTGTTTTACTATATAAAAATTAAGGTTAATGGATTCACGATTAACACTTGAAGATGTAGATTCAAGATCGATGCAATAGTTTTGAGAAGGAAACAAGAATATTAATTATCTTCGACCTTCATGACAGTGGAAAAATGTAATGTTTAAAGGGGTGAAGTAATAAACGATAATGGAGGAAAGAAAACAGAGATGGTAAAACGTTAATGGAGGAAAGAAATGTTATCGAGGATAATATATTTTACCAAGTGAAAACCAAATCAAGTATATTTACTAAGTTAAAAGGACATATTTTAGAGGTCTAGTACCTAAGCTTAGGTGGGGCTGTAATATATATATATATATATATATATATATATATATATATATATAATAAATTTAAAAAATAATATATTTATTACATTTTGAATAAAATAATAATAACATTAATAATAATAGTAATAAAAATAAAAAATAATAATAAAAATAATATAATTTATTTTTTTAGAAAAGTCTCAATATTTTTGGAACACTTTACTAAATAGTCCTAAATTTTACCGGAAGAAAAAGATCATAATACAACCTGTTACCGGTTTTTATGATTTTTTCTAAAAGAAAAGAAATTGGGACTAAAACTTAATGGATCAAAAAGTGTAATACTTTCTTAGAGATTTCTTTATATTTATTAATAACTAATTAATGTATATATAATGTTTAACGATATACAATATTAATAAAAAAAGTATATAATTTGTTAACTGAAATCATATTATAAACAAAAAATTGAACGGCACGTATATTGTCGTTCATTATTTGCACTTTTTTGAATAAAAATTTGAATCTTTTGAACGGTTAGTATAATTTGTGACTTTAGGGGTGTTTGGATAAATTAGATTATAATTTATTAGCTTATTTGCGGTGGGAATAAACAATAAGCAACAAGCAATGAGGGAGATGCTTATTAAAATCAGCTTATTTAGCTTATCTCTACCACAATAAGCTGATTTTTAAGGATTTCTATTCAAACACTTGAACTTAGCTTATTATGGTGGGAATAATCAATAAACAATAATCACTATCTTTTTTCTCTATCCAAACACCCTTTTATTATATAAAAATTTAATTTTATTATAAGCTATTGTAACGTCACTAAATATATTTTTTGGATTGGTTATTACATATCCGAATTTATTTTCCTAGATCTACCACTCTTGTACTTTGGGGTCGGTTGATATGCCTTCTAACTGAGTTCGAAGCTAGGACCCTGTCCACAGTCTCGAGTCAACATGTTTGTTTCCTTTCCGACCATTGTTTTCCCTCCTGGCCCTGTTTTTGCTGATTTGGACTTGGTCCCCGATTTTTTTGCTGATTTGGTCCCCATTGTTTCCCCTCCTTGGCCAGGGGCGGACGCAGGATTTCACAGTAAGGGTTGTACGATAATAGAAAAAATAAAAATTTTTAAAAATTTCGAAAAATTTTCCAGTGCGGACGGAGAAGTCAGGTGTTGCCGGTGCCACCGGTGATCCCCCCCCCCCCCCCCCCCTAAATCCGCCCCTGCTCCTGACCTGTTTGTTCTTCATTTTGCTTCTGATGAGCCCCTTGGACTCGGTCCTCGTCCGTATGTTTGGTGTTCTATTTTGCTTTTAACTCGGTCCAAACCTTGAACCCAGACAGTTCTAACCTAATTAGCAACTATTAACGGACCCTTTGTGTTGTTCATTACTCAAAATGTTGTTGGAATCCGATTGTTCTCATTAAATGTTGGGTTGTACGTTGGCCACTTTCAATAAATAAGCAACGTATAAACCTTTAGGGATAGAAACTCCTTTCCATGCATATTGACACTTCTACAGGAAATCATCTACAATGTTGTTTTTAGTTTAGTTGCATTAATGTAATCTCAATTCGTTCCGCGTGACGTGAGGAACAATTCTTCTACGACTCTTTCTTCTTGTTGTATTGATTGCGAAGCACTGACTGAGACTTGTGACGGGCCTCAAATTAACAAACAAATAAATTATTAATTTCTATAGAAACCCAACTAATTACCAACTGTTATATATATTTAAGTTTAGACGTGTTTTAAATTTATTATTTAATATTTAATATTTAATATTTATTAATGAATAACATCAAAATATTCATTAATTAAAAATTAATATTAATAATTCAACATGATATACATCAATAACATACCAACATGATTATAAGACTTTTACATTGGTAATAAACATTTGCAAAACATTTAATTTAAAAACGTAGAAGGATTGCCCATATTTGTGGTGAGTGGCAAAGAGTATAGGTGGATGATTACGTGTCAGAATATGAGGCATTTAAGCACACGTGTACCACGACGGGAAGCGGCCAGTATGCTATATAAAGGTTTTGTGATTTCTTTACACTTATAATCAAATTTGAAAATGGGGAAGAGCTTGTTTGTGTTCATTTTGCTAGTTGCTCTCTTTGCTACCGGTACGTAATTTACAATTGTCTCCAGTTTTACCTTCTTTCGTTAATTGTCATTGTGTTTTTATATTCTGTTGTAATTGGCTTGTTGCATATATGTACATATTCATTCTATCATGCACTTTTAATTCATTTTAATTGATTATGTACGTAGGTTATTTGAGATTATTAATGATGGTTGAGTTTTCAGAATGAAATTAGCATTAGGTTGAACGAAAATGATGAAATAAATTAATGTGATTTAAGGAATTAATGCGTGACTGATGGAACTTTTCTGTTGCAGATGAGACTATGATGAGTGTGACAGAAGCAAAGATGTGTCAATCGACGAGCCATGCATTGAGTTGTGCGACTGACACGACTTGTAATAGCTCGTGCGAAAAGCAAGGTTTTGCTCAAGGCAAATGTGATGGAATACGTCGTCGTTGTACATGTTACAAGCAGTGCTGAACATATGTTCTCTAAAACTACTTACGCTATGTACACTGTCACGCGACTTTCGCCTAAATAAATATCAATAAAGTTTGGCGTTTGTAGCCCTTTACCAAACTCGGCAGAAAAAAACTTGATTTGCAACCTAAATATACATGTATCGATATATAATGAATTTATATCTCGACAAAGTGAAGATAAATGCGAACTTGTTAAAAAAAATAGATTTTAAGAAACAAAATAATAGAAGTTATTGTTATAAAATGGATACTGATATTACGAACTTGATACGACAATTTGAATTTTTATTAATTTTTCGTAACAAAGTAGGTAAGATACTCTCAAATATGATGATTCGAAATCCAGTTCAAGACATGTATCATTTGGGTTCGTTCGCTACGTTCCAATTTCTTCATCGTCACATTTGCGTTTTGGCACATCATTCAGTTTTATGACGGCGTCGGTGTCTACGATGAATATTCGAGTGTCGCAAACGGTTGACTCGGTATGCAATGAACACACTATACAACCTAGTTGGTATGCAATGAGCACACTACTAGTTTATATAACACGTGAGCAATTGGGGTATAAAGACGTGATCAAATCGCACATTAAACAAAGATCATTTTTATTTTAATATTAATAAATGAATAGTTTTAATTTGCTGGTCATTTTAATACAACTCTTCAATATCTTGTTATTTGTTATGTAGAATATCATGTCATTTGTTATTTGTTACGTAGATAATTAGATATATTAGCCAATTTATTTCAAAATTCAAAACATTTTCTAATTATATGATAAATTTGAAGTTATAATAACTTTAAAATTTTGATATATCTCTTAATTAATAATTTATTTAAAATAACTTATTTAAAATAATTGATTAATAATTATAAATTTTTAAAAAAATTTTAATTAATTTTATAACCATAGTTCCTACGGGTTATAAACTAACGTATTATATAACTAGATGAAATCCAGCGCACCCCCTGCTACAAAAACATTTTAGCAGAAACATTGCGCATATTTCCTTTCACATACTGGACCCTCACTTATAAAAGTTCTTAGTCTCTTCTGTAATAGTAACAAATCAAATTAAATATATATAAGTATGTGAGCTGATTTTTTGTTTTAAAATGCTTTTCAATACTAGATGTTAAAGCCATAGTCACATAGTTCGTGGTACGGTCCAGTACGGGAACGGGATTCATGAGGTTGGGCGTATCGGGTACGAGGGGCTAGGTTCATTTCGGTACGTGTCCGGTACGGCGTACCATTGGTCCCGATACGGTGTACCTGTTTTTAGAACACATATTTAGCAATAATTTACTTATAAACATAATTTTCAGCAACATATTTCATTTAGAAGTACGATTCCAACGATATATTTCATTTAGAAACATAATTCCAACAATATATTTTTATAAACTCAATTCCAGGAACATTTTTCATGATTCCATAATTCAAAATACCAAAATACACATATTGTAAAGATTACATGCTGGAAATTAAAACAGATTACATGTTGGAAATCAAAAGTTCAAAACAGCAACAGTTTTGTAATAACTCAAAAACACAAACATGAAGGGTAAACCAACAAAAACTAAAATGTAACATGTCAATCAACTCGTTGCTTTTTTCCTTGTCCATTCTCCAAATCTTCTTCATCTAAACACTCCCAAACCATGTCATTTAATCGTGAACTCGAGCCTTCAATGTACGTGCTTGCAGGATTGATGTCCCACTTTTTGTGTGGGCCGGATTTGTATGATTCGTGGAAACGAGATAGGAGTCGAATGTTTGAATGAATGTAAACCAATTTATCGGCTCTTTTTTCATTCAACCGGTTTCTTTTCACACTATGAATATAAGAATACGTACTCCAATTCCTTTCCGCGGAAGAGCTACTAATAGGTTGTGAAAGTACCTTCTTTGCCAACAAGGCCAAATCCGGGGTTTCGGCTCCATAGGTTGACCACCAATCTATTGGATCCATTGTCAAAGCATTCGTTTATGTTTCTGCCATAGAGTAGATACCTTTCTTCATATGAAATGTTACGAATTGCTCTCGTAACAATCGTCCATCCTCTTCATTTTCAGAAAATCTATTGAAGGATTCCATGACACCTTGCATAACCTCTTTGTCAAGATTTGGTGGTTTCCTTTGCATACCACCGGGTGCCATTTTTTGAAGATATCGTCTATCATAAAATTGTGGGTTTAATGCAAACCCCAAACAATGTAGTGGGATACTCATCTTCTCCCACCTAGTTAAAATTATCTTCTCGACGAATTGCTGCAATCCAATTCGACAGAAACGCGTTCCCGTCATCGCACCGGTTGATTGCTCGGATCGCCAAGGAGCTGTACCAGAGAGCGTTTCGCATGGCGTTGGGATCGACTCTGTACCCCGTTTGGGTACGAAACGTTCAAAACGTGGTACGTGACCACGTGATCGACTCCTGTGACTATGGTTAAAGCTCCATCCAATGATTACCTTTTCTGATATTTTCCCATCAGAATACATGAGCATTTGGTTGGAAATTATGGAAAGAATAAAGCTATCTACTTACCATCACTTGAACAGATTGGTGGCTCTGTGGTTTCTAGAGAGTAACATAGACCCTGTCCACCTTATGCAATCCATATCAGAGAAGAATGAACCTAAAGAGTTAGATTGATAAACAAAGGTAGCATCAGTGTCCACATCAACAAAGTCTTCAATAAACTTCAACATATTGATGAAAATAGGGGACCTCACCTCAAATTATTTTTAATTATCTTTAACTCAACCTTTACGAAACAATGCATATCTGAGAAACCCAAAAAAACATGAAATTGAGCAATCTAAGCATGATAAATATAAATTTTGATTGATTTTACCTTGCAGAAGATGAAGAGCAAACTGCAAACCTTATGTTACCAAAACGAAACCAAATATAAATAAACTGATGCCTTCGGTTCATTATCTGATTTATTATACCTCATCTTGAGCTAAGTATAAAAGGCATCCACAAACATAGTCAATCAGGATTTTGATGTTCACACAAGTACGACATTTAAAAGAAGGGTTTGAAGGAGTCATCCATTAAAAAAAACTGTCAAATTGGACTTTTGTTCAATAAAATGAACAAAGCATTATGTGCCTTAGCAAAGTAATAGCTAGCCATCCGATTGTTACAGAAAGTACTTGATATTCACAGTACCTGTTGTATAAATATGTATGAAACCTGCAAAGAACATAAAGCAAGCAAATTTACATTCATATGTATAAATGGTTTAAAATGATTATCATATATCCGATTATTTTGTGACGATTATATGGTTAAAAAAAACCTCTAATCGAAGCAAAGATTGAACAGCTATAAATTGAACCCAAATTCTTGATTTTATAGAAAAACATGCACCTATTACAGGAGTTGCTATTAAAGAACCTGAATTTCACCAGGTTGACGGTGTTTAGAGCCATCTAAAGTCTAAACGATTTGCAGCAATACATGTAAGGCTGTTCATTATTTGAATAAAACTGAACTATCCAATTGGATAATTTGGATTGGACTATTTGGTTCGGATATTCGGATTTTTGGATTGATTTTCAACAAAACCGAATTATTAATTTGGATTTCAGATTGGTTTTGGTTTGAAAAAATAAGAATCGAATAGTCCAAAAAAAACTGAATAATAATTTATTATTTATTTATTTTAATTTATACATATAATTATATCTATACTAAAACCCAAAGTGGGTGGCCTGACTTTAGTTTTCAACCCCTTTAACTTTTTCACTTTTCAATTTTTCTCCCTTTAATATATTTTACTTTAGTTTTTACCTTTTACTTTTCAAAATAACATTTTCATCTTTATACTTTATAGACAAAATTACACAGATGGTCCCTGTGGTTGGCACGAGAGACCAAAGATAGTCCTTATGAGGAATTTTGAACGAGTATGGTCCCTGTGGTTCCCAATTGTTGCACGGACAGTCCTTATGACTGACTCCGTTTAATTGCTGCCGTTTATCTAAATCATGTTACCCTCACACGAGGGTATTTTGGTCTTTTGCTTATCCCTTCTCTCTCATATCTTTATATGATCTGCAAAAGATTTCCATTCCCTATAAAAATTAAACCCCCATTACTTCCTTCATTATTTTTCGTCTCCTCTATTCTTTCTTATCTCTTCTGTGTCTTTCTAAGAACTTTGCTTAACAATGGTAAATTGTTTTTGTGGAAGGCAAGCGGTGATAGTGACATCATGGACGGATCTCAACCCAGGGCGTAGGTTTTGGAAATGTCCTAGCAGTTGCGGTTTCATTGCATGGTTTGATGAGCCCATGTGTCGTAGGGTTGTGGCTGTCATTCCAGGTTTGCTAAGATCCATGAACAAGCTTCAAAAATCTCTGCTGCAAGCAAGTTTTGAAGCAAAAAAACTGAAGATGATGCTAGTTTTTAGCTGGGTTTTCTTTTTCATGTATGTGTACAAAAGATGCTAATAGTATTAGTCTGGAGATGATGGTTCTTTTGCTTGTGGGTAGAATCAGATAATAGTATTAGTCTGAAGATGACTTCATTTTGTTTGTTTGTTATGTAAGAAATGTTCGTATGTATGAATGGAATGCTTTTTATTTGGGAAACTTTTAGTCTGCAACCATTGTAAAATATTGGTCTGGAACTTTATGAGTGTAAAATATTGGTCTGCAACTTTATGAACTATGCAGATCCATTAAAGTATAAAATATGAGAGTGAAAGGTTTTTGTAGGGTGTAGACCATTGTAGTATAATGTGTAAACCATTGTAGAGCCATAACAACATTAGAAATGTTCAAAAATAAAATGCAAACTTTTGCGTAGTCACAAAGTTCATTACATAACCTTAAAGTGCAAAGTCATAATACCAACAAAATATCAAAAGAGCTTGCAGACTAATGTATCATAACCAAAAGAACCAACTTAGTCTAGCACCCTAATGTACCATAATACCAACAAAAGATAAAGACACACAAGAACCAACTTAGT